ATTCATACTTTCAACTTCAGATGAAGACTCCTCAGACTCGGATTCATTATCGGAGGAATCAGATCCAGAATCGCTACCAGAAGAATTGTTAGTATCTGAGCTTGAATCTAGAGTAACTTTATTAATATTACCTTTCTTTTTGGACCTACTTTTCTTTTTATTTCTCAGACACTTGCGAGAATTATGTCCAGTCCTATTACAGTTTGAGCAACAGTGTTGTGCTTTCGTAGCTTTTTTAATAGCCCTAGCTACGTGCAACTTCAACTGCTTCTTTGTAAGATTGGCTAATTCATCATCGGAGTCAACTTCAACTTTCTTTATTACTGGTTTTGGAGGCAAATCAGGCTTGGAGATAGGAACAAATTCTGAAACCTCCCCAGTAATCCATTGTACAAATCTGTCTATTAATATATCTTGCATTTTTTGATATGTTCCAGGAGGTTGTGGTCCATAATAAGGTTGAGGTGTCTGCAATGGTTGTGATGGCTGTATTTGTTGAGGAGCTGATTGTGAAGAAACGGATTGGGATTGTGTAGGTGTTATTAATTTAGATAACAATTTATAACTAGACTGGGGTATTTTACTAACTAATCCTAATTTTTTCTCTGCTCTTCGTATTTCAATTCGCTCTAAAATTTCACAAAGATCAGCTAATGGTTGCTCAGTACCAATGCGTTCCGCATCATCCTCCAAGTCTGGAGACAAACCTCTTAGAAATTGTCCCTTAATCTGTTGCTCATCAAGATTAAGCATTTTTCCATATTTTAAGAGTTTTGAGTAAAAGTCTCCTATAGGTTCACCCCCCTGAGCTAATGATCCATAAACTAAATTGCGCTTTTCACTTATTACTGTAGGATATTCATTTTTGAGCCAATATAATGCTTGGCCAATCTGAATGTTACCAAATACTATAGGATTAGCATTACCTGCATTAACAGCATTTGCAGGTCTATCTGATGAACGTTCTCCAGCTAAGCGCCAATCTTCGGTAAAAGCTTCAGCTGGAATCATGGAAACATCTACGGTTACTGCATTATTACCAGCAATATTTGCATAGTCATGGGCAATAGAAGGATTTCTAAAGCTATTACTAGTATTCATCTGTGCCATAGTGCGTCCCCAAAGAGCACCCATACCAGCCTGGCCATGATTTGCAAAAATATTGTGAAGTTCCCATCATTTACCAAGAATTTTTCGATCAAACCATTCTAATGCTCGCCCATGTAGACACTCTCTAAGAATACCAAATGCTTGATCCCGATTGGCAACTGGGTCTATACCAGTGCTAGCTAAATATGATGATAATCGACTAATAAAAATATCAATATCCTCATCATATTCACCTGAAAAATTTGGTAGTGGTA